GTGTGTAGAGAGAGAGAGAGAGAGAGAGAGAGAGAGAGAGAGAGAGAGAGAGAGAAAGGGAGATACGGTTTCTTTCTATCTTTATATAATATGCTCGTTTTTTCCTCTGTCTTCGTTGTCTCCTTTCTCTCTCACCGAGTTTCTCTGTTCCCCGAGCCTAAATTATTTCTTCGGAGAGTGTGAAGTAGAGTGTTAAACAGCTGTATTATAGCACACATTCGTTTTGAACACTCTGTCTGTCTGTCTGTCTGTCTGTCTGTCTGTCTGTCTGTCTGTCTGTCTGTCTGTCTGTCTGTCTGTTTGTCTGTCTGTCTGCCTGTGTCTCTCTCTGTCTTTGTCTCTCTCTCTGTCTCTGTCTCTGCCTGCCTCTCTCCCGCGCGCTCGTATGACCTTTTGCTGTTGCAAGCGCGTAAAACACTTACAAAAACAAAAAAGGAGTCTGTGGTGCAGCAGTTAGACACTTCGCAGTCACTCGCAGGAGGCCCAAATTCGATTCCCTTATAGCGAAAATTGTTATCGGGTGTCTTAACCCCTTCACTGCTAGGCCCGAGAATTGGGTGATAACGCAAATCTTCGACAAAAAGTATATTCCAGCGTTCCATAATTCTTAATTTATAGAGGAAAATAATTCATTGTAGGCTACTTTTTAGTTTGATTTTTGGGTTTTGGTAGATCTATCGTCGTGGGTGGTTGGCGGGTGCTCGGGTGTGGTTTGCTCCTTCTTTCCTATTAAACAACTATCGTTTTTATTTCTCCTCCTTTTTTATGTTTTTTACTCTCTTGTAACACCTCTAATCTTCCGCACTTATATGACCTTATTGCGTTGCAAGTGCCGTAAAACTCTTACTAAGACTAAAAGATCTGGGTTTCCAGAAATCTTGACATACTCACAAAGTGGGCATTGCCCTACCAATAGGAGAAGTTTGGTTTCATTGGTGTGTATATTTGTTTGGTTGTAGAGAAAACTCTCCTTGTCTTTAAAAAAAACTGAATAAGGGTCCAAAAACTTTAACTTCGATTTTCTCAAAACAGCATTTTCGGGTTAGCCCCCTTCTGCTTAAAAGCGACTATTTAAGAGGCAGCGGGCTTTGGCCATGTCTACTGGGGCTAACCCTGGCTGAAAGGGATACAACATCCCAGTAGAAAGACCAATGTTCTCGATAAAAACATTCTTGTCATTTAGTAATCGGACTTGGGTCTCCTGTGTACTACGATCAGGTGCCCAAGACTTTCACTAAACCCAGTCACATGCTTACATACACTCGCGCACTCTGTTAGAGAGTGAAAGGAGGAGGGGGAGGAGGAGGAGGAGGAGG